AACCGTCTACTAGCACTTATCCTCAGTTAGTAGCAAAATTCACATTTATGGATAAAAACTGCTGTTTTTTGGAGATGACTTATTCAATGATATCTTTGGTGTAACATTTCAATGTGTAGTTTTTTGTTAGAATGTCAGTAGATAAATAGGTGTAATAGCCGTATCATGCTCACACTTTCACAAATTACCCTTCTTAGCTAAGCTTCAGCTTGTATTGTAACGTATCAGGCATATGCTCTAAACACCCGATTTTCTAATTTTATATGTATTTTTGTTTTGATTTACAGAAACCCCTCTTGTAACCATGGATCTTTTGAACCATTAACAGAAATATTAGTATTCTTTGCCAATATTTCATGTTACAAAAAGGTAGTAGTATTATCTTTAAGAAGAAACTCAATTTGCTCTTATACCATCCTACAACTGAAGAACTATTTAAACACAACTATTATATAGATATTAATTATTAGGTCAATCCCACTAGCATGTAGCAGGAAAGCGTGACAATACCCCTGCTGGTGGAAGTGTATGCATCTGAACGCACTCAGTGTCACTAACGGAACCTTCAAGATGCCAGGCGCCCCTTTGTTGTATAATGCAGGACTCTGTCTTCTTCCTCTAGACCTTGAAGAAACCAAAAAATCAGAACCTGAAGACCACAGGGTTTAGAGCAAGAGCTTCCCGGTTCTCCAACTATTGAACAAACCTAGGAGCTTTCTCAAAAGCAGCACATCTTATAAATATACATCAGGGGAGCAAACAGCTTATGGTCAAACAATGACTGATTCAAACCAGAGGTGAAAAAGCCCTGCAAGGCTGAATCCTGATGTGAGAGTTACATAATGTAGATCAGTACTCAACCATGAATCACCTTTTATTAACTTGAACTGGCACCCAGTAATTGCATGACTGACATACATATGACATACAGATGATCCCACTTTTTCATTTCATTTCCTCTTCAAAAGAGAAAAGTTAGTCAGGAAAGCTGGAAGATTTCAACAAATCATAGGCATGTTGAATTTTTTTGGTGGTTCTAACCCCACCAATAACAATAATCAATCATGAAATGCACTTACATAGTATCCACCCTTGAAAAATGTAGCAGCCTAGACTTTCCAGACCCACAGGGTTCAATCAAATATCTGGAAGCTAGAACGATACCTCGCACTGTATTCGGTATGTTAACAGAATCTGGATATTCTACAGAGGTTTCCACTATAATACAAGTTTCTTTTGGAAGATCGCATCTCCATCTTCGTAATACACAATACTCCTCATTGGGTAACGGACTTATATTTCTTCTAACATACTGAAACACCTCCGATCTACTGTCTAGCTGGGCGACGATTTTCGCAGAATGCAGATCCGGATCCCAAATGTGGCGTTCTCTCAATATCCTATGAAGTACTTCTGAAGGAGGAGCTTCCACTTCGCAAGTCACTTTCCAAAATCTCAGTGGTAACCCGTCTGCTATTTTCTTGTAGAATATATCCACTTTTGAATTATGAGAAGATATCGGAATCCAACCTCGGCCTTTGTCCCTCGCTTCTTTCAATAAATTAATCTGGCATTCATTCAGGTATTCCTTCCAGCCACCCATTTCTTTTCCTAAATCTGAGAGAAATTTGGCCTTTGTATCTTTCATTTCGCTGGAGTTGCACTGATTTATGAAATCTCGAGGTATCTGAAAGGAAATGAATACAAATTTATATATCTTTGAAACAACATAAACTAACCTCTTCCATACAGATCTCTTGTTTAAATTGTTTTGTTTTCAAAAATGATATACATTCAATTTATTGAACACATTTTTCCCACATAAAAATTAAAGTGACCCAACCAGTGAAGTTACGGGAGTGCATATGAAATTTTTAAAAAGTATAGTTGTCTCTTTTTCAGATTGCCATCCACCTATATTATATATATAAGTCTTCACACAAAAAGCATATGAGAACCCTTCAGAGAAGTCAATTGTTGTTCAAAAAGTGCAATTTTCATATTTTATATTTCATCCCATTCTTGAATCAACCCTTTCAACAAACTCAAATAGTGATAATGGTTTTTAAATGATTACTTCAATTATCTACACAACAGTATCAAGATTTTTAAAGGAACTGTACTATTTTTTATTGTAGAGAATTAGAATACAATTTCGGCAGGTATTATTCAAACCTCCATTGCTAATTAAATTGTTTGAAAGGGTTAATACAAGTAGAGAAGCCATTTTTCAAAAATAACTGAAGGATGGTTAATGTATTCAACAGAAAATGCCTAACTGATGTTATCTTAAATACAAATTACACTCCGAAATTGAAATAAACATCAACTTGAAATTTCGGGCCGTGAAGATAGAAAACATAATAGTAGAAAACAATGAGCACAATATTATTTAAGTGTTGTTTCCTTTCATTTGTATTGAATATTCCTAAACATGGTGGAAGACCAAGAACCTTGGTCCAAAGTAGAATAATTCCCATTATTTTTTTTATGATTACCAACATTTATTTTTGCATACCCTAACGGGCATAAGCATTCAGCCAATCTTTGAATAGCTAAGTAAGAAAATTAATATATTAAAGTAGTAACTGATCTCTCGGGTTTCATTTTTTCAAAAGTTGGGAAATTTTGCTGATGGAGTTAGGAAAATTTGGATTCCCTCCTCCCCTCTGGTTTTTCTTTTCGCTACAGCCCTGCTTCCACAACATAGGCAGTAAATATAAACAACCAAGAAATAATTCAACACACTGCTTACCCAGAAATGTGTGAAACTAATGACTATTTATAACCTGGTCCGCATTTCGTATATCTCGTGACGTCACGCCACCTTTCGCTGAACCGCTTCTTTGAAGCCGTTTTCTGAAGCATTGGATCTACTTAGAGAAGTTTTTTTCCCCAATATTCTTCAAATTACTTGCTGATTTCATTTTCCGATTTGAAAAAAGTGAAAGTATAGAAGAATGGTTGGTACTGAGAGTTTTGTTAAATGTACTTGTTGGGAAAAAACATTGGTCATCGAGTTCCCTGTGCCTCAGGCTGAAGGGAATTCCCATTAAATTATGGATTGCTAAAATATCAACGCCGATACTATGGTTGGTATCTCAGTTGTGACATTAAATATCAGTGATTCGCCTGCAGCACCAATTCAAATAATAGTAATCATAATCTTCCCTTGCCCCTTCCCACTCAGGGTTGGTGATATTATTATGGATTTTATTTGGATCACAAATGTTTTTTTTACTCCGATAATTAATATGTTGGACCAGTGGTTTCGATCATTTAATTTTATTATTAGCTGATATTTTATTGCTTTCTTCAAACTAAATTAAATTAACTTTGGAGTAATCAATTGTTGAAATTTTTATGAGTTTTTTAATTTGTGACTGTTTCCCACCACTTGGGAACTGAAGTCTTCATCTGTTTACAATTTTTTTGTCATTTCATTGTGTTGTCAAAATATAGTGATAATGACTGCATATGATTGGAAAATGTCTGGAATTACATTTCCTACTCTCCATTATACCTCATACAAGAAATATCACTTTCCAGACATGGAATGTCTTACAGGTATTTCCGGACATATTTTACTATCGCTCAACATTACTCATGCACCTCTAGCAGGGGACGTTATTTCTCAGAATTTCTCAGAAATATCCTGAATATAATAACCAAATGAAATCGGTTAAGTGAAACCAATTTCAGAGAAATATTTTTCCAATATCTTTGTTTTACCAGAAATCGTGACATTCGTGTCATTTCTATCTCCATATATCAAGCTAGTCTTATAGGATTAGGGATTTCAATAGTTGGGACTCAAAGTATATATGTTGCATGAAACAGATGCAAACTCATTCTCTCTATGGTTGCTTATATATGTTGATTCTGAAACATTTATTGCCACATGGTGAGGAGATCATTCCCATTACGGATAACAGATCTAGTTATAACTAAGAACTCGAGAAGTAGAAGGTAAATACATATTGTGATTCAGAAATTGTGAGCTGTTAAAAATATTGATCAACACAGGAAATACAGGAACCTAAGTTTTTTGTTCTATGAATTCACTGACTCGTTAATCGACGAGTCAGGTCAATCCTATTCGTTATTCATCTTCTACTTCTTGATAACTATATTAGTACAGTAAAATTCGTTTTGAATCCACTAGTTAAATGAAGTTTCAGTGGCACATATTGTTCATTGTTTGTACTATCACTGTGGTAAAACGTCTTGTCTGTCAGGTGTAGAAAAGGGGAATAATAGTGACGATTTCAAACATGATAATTGCTGCACCTCAGTATACTCAAACATTTTACTTCATTTTAAGGTAGTTCGTTATCTCATGCTTGAAGTTAGACAGGGTATTACGCGAATAGTGTAGTGGAGTACAATGTCTGCCCACAAAACATTAATTATCAAGCGGAAACTTGCCAAAAAATTGAAGCAAAACAGGCCCGTTCCACAATGAGTTTAGATGAGGACAGGAAACACCATAAGATATAACGCTAAGAGACGTCATTGGCGCAGAACCAAGCTTAAGTTGTAATAAGTTGAATTCTTATGATTAATTATAATTTAATAAATAATTAAAAAAATGTTGTTTCAGTTAGGCTGGAAGTTCGTAATACTACAGAAAAATATGTCCTAATAGCAAGGAGTGAGTTTTAATCATAATTTTCAACCACCATACATTTTCCTTTCACACTCAATATTTTTGTTGGCTTATTTGGCAACAAAAATGGAATAATTCAGTACTTTCCTCTATTTTCGAGGTCACTGAAAAGTCTGCATTTCCAGTGAACTGTTCTCTGGGTATCTCCAACTAATGAGTGAAGATGTAATTACAACCTCTTTCGCATCCCTTCCCTCAAACCCGCAAAGGTCTTTACCATATTCTGAATGAAAAATGAACAACTTGCCACTTTCAGGCTTCCTTATATTTCACAGGGTTCAAGCGTTTTCTTTCTTCAATTTTACTGTACTATATTGTCAGAAACAGATCATTATTTAGGAATGACTTGTAGAAGACTGAATAAGTGGTATTTTGTGTGCTCTATCCACTTTTCCTCTGAATTCCATTTCAAAGCATTTAGAATAGACTAGATGTTTGAAAGTTCACTGTATTGATACACAATAAGTGTTTATTTGTGTGAAACCCAGAAATATTTATAACTTGAAAGATGTTAATTGCTGTATTTCCCGATAGTAGAAACATAGTTTGAGATTGTAACTGGGGCGGCTGATTAATTTGTCACTGACTTGAAGTAATGTATAATAATGTAGTTACATGTGTAATATAAAAGTATTATTAAAGGTTATAGTAAATTACAGTCGTATGAAAAATGAAGCCCAACTCACCTTGAATAAATTGTTGAAATTCTTGAGCAAAAATAAGAGGCATTCATGCCCGGCTTTGTTTTCCGCCAATTCCTTAGGGTGAGGATATCCCAGATTCTGCTTATATGTTTGTGAATACTGAAAAAGCGTTGGAGCAAAACACATGGCCAAATTATTTTCACTCATCTGATTGGTCTCTGAATTTTTCGCGATGACTATTAAAAAATGAAGCAAGGATTGTAGCACTTCTAAATGTTCATCAGGCAGCAAAAGAATAGCGCAAAGTACTGATTCTCGTCGTAGATATAAAGGAACATCTGCAAGATAAAACAAGAAATATGTTTTTATAAGATAAAATAATGTGAAAAAGGGTCAAAGACGTAAGAGTAAAACAAAGTTATAGGAGAAAACACTAAAAGAGACCAGAGTGTGAATACAACTATTCCCTGAAAACAAATAAAGCAAAAATGGGTTTCTGATGCATGTATTCTACGTATATTATGCAAAGCCAAAAGCTTCACTCTAAGCTCGGCTGAACGGCTGAAAAATTAAACTCGGCTTAAATGTTGATGGTTATGCACCTTATTTACATAAGCCAAGCTTTCTAAAGCTAAAAATATATCTGGCAACGCCTGAAAATTGCTGAAATTCTTCAAATAAATCAAGAGAAAAGAAAAATTTTATGTCAAAATCAAATATAAAATAACTGGTCAACATTGTGCAATTCATGCAGACAAAATAAGAATTTTTGTGTTCAAGTAGACGGGATCTCAGGTACAGACCTGATATTCTATATTTTGGATACTCAATTTCGGAGATGGAGATGGAAGCAAGGACAACAGGTTGAATGTTGTAGGCATATGAATATATGTTGTTTGTATGTACAATTATTATAGTGGTACTTCTGAGTCCCCACCGCAGACAGAAAGCTAGATTCAGTTCATAATAGCTGCCAAAGTGGTTTCGAGCGGGCTCAAGACTGATTTTTTACGGTGGATATTAAATTTACTTTAGGTCTAAGCCAAGCTTGATACTGTACAGAGAATACAGTCGAAAAAACGTCTATAGTATTAACTCGTAGGAGTGCGACAGCTGGTTAACGGAAAAACAGATTTTCAAAACTAGTCAGTCAATGTTACCAGTAGACACGATGAAAAACTTGAAAATTTCGCCAAATCCAGGCAATATTTCCTAATTTTTTTCATTTGCACCCTTCCTACTGCATTTTGCCAAGACCTAAATATTTCATCGATAAATCAAAATGGAAGCCTTCATGCAAAGTAAGAACTTCTATATAAAGTGAGTATTGTAGTAATTTTAACCCTATTGTCAATGAATACGATGCTTTTATTTGAATTAAACCTGAAAGTTTACTTTCCTGACCTGATATACTATAAAGGAACAACTGACAAATGACTGAACATATCTGTTTCAAAACTCTTGAAATGGATGAACGCTGAAAAATTGTTGGATTATGTTTTTCTCAAAAAACTGTTTTTTTGAACGTGTCAGGTCCATAAAACCCATGAATACTCACACTGAAAAATCAAAATGAAGGTTTCCGATAGCTTCGCAGTCAACAACACTTCTGGTAACTCTCGAAAGTACTGCTTCAGCATGTCAGCCACGTCGTAGCACTGTTGTTCAGTGTAATCCACTGCTATATTGGCCTCAACTTTGCTGTGCAAAAGCTGTATCCTGGATTTTACTCCAGGTTTCCTGAAAATGCCTACTTGGTCTGCTGCATTGTCCTGTAGCCACTGCATAGATTCTTCGATTTGCCTGGGTAGAACTTGTCCTGTTCTTTGGAAATTTATTGTGAGTGGGACGCCAAAAACTTTTTTGTCTGAAAATATTTGTGTTTTGTGATACAAATCGATTGGAAATATAAATATATACAAGATGACGTGTTTTTTTAGCTCCATATCTCAATAAAAATTTGTTCTACTGCCTTGTGGTGGGTACTGATCGGTAGAGAATTGTGTACTCTGATATTGATTTTTTCTAAACTTCAATTGTTTGCCCCTTTTCGGACGTCAGAATACTATGTTTTCGAAAAGTCTGATTTGAGTCTATGGAGCAGAACTTTGAACCGATGAGCAGCTGTAGTTTGCTCAGTACTCTGGCATATATCAATTCTGGTGAAATGAAGAAGATCATTGAATGAATTCAATGTTCACAGCACACATCAGATTGACGCTAAGATTCAATCCAATCAAAAAGACATCAAACTTATTGCAAGTACCTTATATATTTCAGTTGAATTTTCTGCAAAAACATCACCCAAGTGATGTAGATAATCAAATTTTGGCTTGGGATTGCCTTCGAAACGAACAAAGAAAGAATACAAAGACACCATGTAACCATGAAAGTTCATGCAGAAAGGGATTTCTGGTTACTTTTTCCATTTATTTTTATTATTCAGAATGCATTAATTCACAATTTCCTTCATTTTCATAGCTAATTTTTCTTACCCATTTGTGATTGTAATACACTGTTTGGAACCCCTGTTGTAGTAATGAATATTACTGGAGTTTTTTCCAACACTTAACCGTTATTTTTAACACCTCTACACGTGTTTCAATCACCAAGTGATCATCTTCAGTTTAATCTCCCTCTTGAAGATGATCACTTGGTGGTGGGAAAAAACTCCAGTAATATTTATTCATGATTACCTGCAGAATCATTCGTGATACCTACATATGGAAAGGATGGGTGATATCAAATAAATGATTGTGGGCAATTTATCGGCCGTATGTTGACTTATATGCTTTATTATGGGCCTCTTGAGGTCCTTTATTATATATGAACTAAATAAGGTGTGACGATATTTGCCGGGTCCCTTATTTTGGGGCCTGCTGCCTATATGGTCAGGCCCTGATCTTACAGCTAACATAGGGTCAATGTTTCTCAAAATGGTAAGATTTCAATGGGCCAATAGCATGCCGCCAAAACATTTTTTGCTGGGTACTCACGCGTTATTCGAATTCAAGGTCGAATTGATTTCCCACTATAAGCTATTTTCTCTCTCTGTTTCAGATATTTGAGGGGTCAATCAATTATTTGAAAGAATGAAAAAATACAAGCGTGCCTACTATTTAACGGACTATCTCGTTTCGTTTACAGGATCCTGAATGCATCTGTAGAGTAGGGAGGGTGAGTATAGGTCCACAGCACTTAGACCACATGTGACCCATTGTACATCCTCCCAAGGAGTTGTCCTCCTGGGTCATCGTCCATCCTGTCCTTTTCAAGAAGGTGGACAGGTCATTGGGAGGCATCCTCCTTTATATCGGCAGGAGTAGGTCAAGACTCACCGAACACACACTCTCTTATTGACGATAACTCCGAACATTCGCATAGCACATGCTTGCCAACTCATCTTCCTGTTCATCCCGCATAGAGGTTTGTCTACTAGCCCCATATCATGGAGGTGTTTTCTTAGTTGACAGTGGCCAGTCAGAAATCCTACTGTTGAGCGTAGATTTTTCCTGGTCATCGCCAGATATTTCTTCGGCGCCAGCTTCCTAGGGTCGCCCAGGGTGATCCTGGCAAGATTGCATCTTTTGATTTCATTCCACCTCTTTAGGGAATGAGCATGGGTGTGACGTTTGGCTACTTCCGCAATTGTCGACGTCATCAGGCCGTAGGTGTCACTAGGTCCTAAAACTCTTAGTCCAGTCGCTTCTTTGGCTGAAGAGTTGGCAATGCGATTACCTTTACTCTTGTCTTGCCCTTTAACCCACTTCAGGATAATGTTATTATCTACCAAGGCTTTGGCTAAACCTTGGTGGAACTCTAGTACTAGCCCTGAGGTAACACGTTGTTTGTTCAAGGCTAATAGGACTTCTCTACTATCAGTGCGGATTGTTATGTTTTTGCCAGAAATTCCTTTTCTGGTTATTTCTTTTGTGGCGATTGAGATACCAGCCAGTTCTGTTTGAACCACCCTGGTATTTTTTCCAATTTCCCACTGAAGCATTGGCTATTCAATAGTTTCCCAACCTGAGCACAGTCGTAATATTTGAATTATTGGTAACCTATGATCGAAAATCACCTGCCTCGAAACTGTCTCATGAGGCATTTTCAGGATTATCTATGATGATTTCACATTATCTACGTTAAGTCACTGTATTTCCTTCATTCCACTATTAATGTATGTTCTGTGAGTCAGCAATGCGGAAATCATACTGAATTTATAATTCTACTTTGTGAATTTTTGTTCAGGATTTACCTTGAAGCGGCATATTCATACCTTTATTTACATTCATCTACATGTGTTTCACACACATATTAACGAAAGTCAACATGAATGGCAATTCAATGATCAAATTATATAATGTGTAAGTAAAAGTGAAACTGCATTTAATGCGTATTAGATTCGATAACCAAAATTTTTAGAGAAAATAACAGAATATTTTTCATGAAATGCAACGCAAGGTTTAAATGTAGAACAATGTGAAAATAATAACGGTTATATACTCTGTGATAATTTGAAAATGTTAGGTTCAAGTTTTAATGACAGATTCAAAAACGGTGTCTATTTAAAAAAAACACATATATTTACAATAACCCCCCGTTGACAGGTATTGGAAAATATGAGTTAGGGAAAATTCAGTTGATATAGTTAAGTCTAGAGTAATTCCGGTTCTGCTGTGAACCATTCAGGGAAATGTCTGAATAGAATACGTAAAAGCTCAAAATGGTAATTTTTTCATACAAAGTGTTCAAAAAAATAACTGAAAATTGATATTAAAACACAAGCAAAAAATATTTAAACGGATTCCGCATTTGTTATTACTTCATGGCAATCAATATTAAAAATAATGATTATGAGTACTTATATAATTATCTTATACTGGGTGATTTTCATTTTAATCATTTATTTTTACTTTTTGTTCCACACTGCGAATTAATTCTCATGTCTTCATGTAAGTTGACTATGCAAAAAAACATGTAGGCTGTAAACTTTTATAAATGTTTTTGAGTTAATTTACTCTTTATAGGCAATCTAACAAAGTTTTAACAAGAACAAGGTGTATAGTATATATTCTCAAATATTTCAATGCGTCTACTAACCTTTATAAATCGGCGCCTTTATTTTCCTTATGAGCTTTGGCAAATCCCAGTTCCAGCCTGTTCTATGACTTGGGCAGTATTTTTCCATATGAGACGTTAATTTCAGCAACGCCAGTTTTTTGAGCACCTGCAGCTGTGTGGCAGATAGTTGAGATATAGAAGGGCCGTCATTATTAAAAGAGATGTCTTTCTCAGGGCTGAGCAATTCCTTAGTCTCGGGCAATTTGTGCCATATCACACTTAAAGAAAAATACATGTATTTTCAAAATGGAATAGAAAAAGTTTTTATTAGTAGCAAGAAAGTGAATGTTTATTACGGAAGTTCTACATGCAATAAATGGGCTCCCTTCTCAATTTATTTTCGAGGGATCATAAGATGTTACAACTCCCCCTTCAATTTGCCAAGTGATTTCGACAATTCTTGTGAAGTTATTCACGGAAATGTATTTTATAATAGGTAATTTCGAAAGTTTCTTTGTGAATTTGTTAGTCCACATCTTTGAGAATATTTTGATCAATCTATTGGAGTGTCATACACTGCTTTTTACTGGGTATGTTACCCCAGTGGTCTGCTGACGTACTAGTGAACCGACACGGGGTGAAGTGGGACTTTGGAGTAGGTATAGGAAACCAACACATTCAGACAGATATCTAAACAGAAACTATTAATCGCGATAAAGGAGAAAGGTAACGAAAACTTCAGTTGAGAGGACATACCCATACACCAAGTGAAAACATATATTCTTATTATGGAGTTATAGTCCATTAACCTAGTCGCCATTCTTGAAAGAAATAACGAATGAAGGGCATAACTATTCAGACACTTATTCGCTTGCTATCATAACCACAGAAAGTGCCATTACTCCAAAGATCACTCTCCATATGTAGTGAAAGATAATTGAGTGAGACAATGAGGGTGTTGGAGAACGAGTCCAGGTACACTCAGTTTGACTATTCAAGTAAAAGGCGAAACTGGGTCTGCAGACGAAGAATGAATTCAAAAAAATCACTTTTCCAATCACCAGAAGAGTATTTCATTCCTGGCGAATGGGAAAAGTGCTCGTTTTGGAGCTATTGAAGTGCCGAGAGACAGTCCACTTATTGCCCAGGACCAGTCACAAATGTCCAACATCTGTATCTGTATCTGTAGAGTAGGGAGGGTGAGTGTAAGCCCATAGCACTTAGGCCACATGTGACCCATCCTCCTAGGTCATCGCCCATCCTGTCCTTTCCAGGAAGGTGGACAGGTCACTAAGAGTCATCTCCTTTATATCAGCAGGTGTAGGCCAAGGTTCGCCGAACACACACTCTCTTATTGATAACTTCGGGCACTCGCATAGGACATGCCTGACAGTCTCATCTTCCTGTTCACACATCCTGCATAGATGTTTGTCCACTAGCCCCATATTATGTAGGTGTTTCCTCAGCTGACAGTTGCCAGTCAGAAATCCTACTGTGAGGCGTAGATTTTTCCTGGTCATCGCCAGATATTTCTTGGGCGCCAGCTTCCTAGGGTCGCCCAAGGGAAGCTGGCGACCCTGTCCAACATATCTTTCCAAATGGCTCATCGCCATTTGCTGTGACAAATTTGAACCAACTATATAACTCTCGATTGTGCAAGAAATATTTTACTGCCAGTGATTACGTTCTGGCAAGGAAATGTATGCTAGAAAACCGTACGGTTGAACCACAACGTCATTTGTTGGTTCCCCAGCAGCACACTCACATTTATTCTGGTTAACCTTGCCGTTTACCAAGAAAGCTATTTTAACAAAATAATATTGAGCATTTCGTCATTTTGAGTTTCCTATAAAAAAGGTTTTGGTGAAAAAAAATCACTTCTTTCTTTAGAATTGAAGTGTTTTCTTCCCAGACGTATTCACGACGAGACTCAGAATTCGCCAGAAATGATTGCTTCGTTTGTGTTCTCTAGAATGATTGATGGTGGAGTTTTGGAAAACCAGAAAGCATGAAGGTTGTTGTTGTCAGTATCACGTGGCGTCTTCAGGCTCAAGAATTAATAATCCTTGCACGATGTTGATGGTAAGCCTTATGCAATGAAAGTATGGTTGTTGGAAAAAAATTAGACACATAAAAAAGATGTAATGCTAAAAAGCTCTGTCGCCTTATAGGGTGTGGAGGCCAAGAAATATTCTTCACTGTTTTGGGGTTCGACTAGAGAAAATCTTCTGTGAATGACTGGACAGATTCAGGTTTTTGACCTCCACCCTGGTACTAGCCATGGAAGTAATTGTTTAATATTTACTGGAATGATGACTTTCATTGAAGTACGAAACAAATTGTTTCTCAATGAAACACTCAAAGCTGGTCATTAGTTTCAAAACCAGAATTCCAAAAAATATTCCAATATTCAAATTCTGAATATGTTGATAATATCACGTTAACAGTTCCTTCACAAATTGTATATATTTGAAAGTAAAATTGAGCCCATGACAATCGCGAAAAACTATTGATAAATATTCAAATCGTTTGACGAAGAAAAAGTCGTTTTTGTTGAAATATACTGGTTTGAGAACCGCAAAATGTACAGGCCGCAGTTGTAGGAAATGAAGCAGAACACAAATGTTCAGTAAATCTAATAAATTTAGCGAACACACCATTATTTTGTGAAATAGGAATGGTTATTTTGATGATATTGGATCGTTTCAATTAACTTATCTTTGATATGTTCCTTGTTTCACAAAAACATGTATGCAAAATTTTAGCTTGATCGGTTGAGGATAATACCTTCAAAGTTCAGTAGTCACATTTGACCCAAACTAACAACATTTGGTCTGAAAAGTTCGTAGTCTGACACGAAGAAATTATTTTTTATTATCGAGGGCGATATAACGATTATAGCCATCATACAATGTTTTGATATCATTTTTATAGTGCAATTTGTCTTAAGCCTCAAAATAAGCCAGTGCAAATTCCAAATAATGTTTACCAAGCTAAGCCTTGGCTTCAACAGCCTTTTTTTCCCAAAAAGGAAATGCTTTAACAGACGGAATTCCTTTTCATCCATTCTCTTCAAACTAACAAAAAATGTTTCACTCAAAATAGTCTTTCTCATAAACTAATAGTCCAACAGCTGGGAAATTTATAAACGTGCCTTTTAATCATTAGAATTGACAATTTAATGTGTGATTTTCACTAGATAGTTTTACAAAAACGCAACACGTGTTTCGCCATACAATGGCTTCCTCGGGCGTGTCTTAATAACTAATTCTACACATTAAATGCTATATATACCTTATTCTACAATTTGAGGTACCTGAATTTCAAGTAAGTTTGTAATGAATTTAATTACCTGAGCTTATGTTCCATTTTCCACATTTGAAAAAATATTCAGTAACGGAGAGTTATTTAATTCTAATTGATTATTCAGTAAATTACCCGAATTCCCGAATCTATCGATTTCTAAACATTCTAGAAGATTGAGTTTCAAACTCTTCCCTTCTGAATATGCAACACATCGTATTCATGATTGAACTCATGTCCTTCTGCTAATAGGTGGTTTGCATATGTGGAATTGTGCATATGAGCATATGTGCTCTTTAATTCTTTGGGAAAATGTTCTTCCAGTTTGGCCAATATACAGTTCTGGACAAGAGCCACAAGTCAGCTTATACACTCCTGATCTATCCAACAACGAAGTTTTGTCTTTATTGTTTTTAATAATTTTACTTAGATTATTATTCGTTCTGTAAGCTACGTTTACGCCTTCTTTCTTCAAAAAACGGGCAATATTCCTGGTTGGTTCACCCAAATATGCCAATGTCCTATAACTGACGTTATCGCATCTTGAATATGGGTAGACCAATTCCATGGCTTGCTTTTGAAGTTTTTTGCTAAGAATGGCGTTTATAATATCTACTTTGTAACCGTTATTAACCGCGATTTGTTTGATCAAATTCAGCTCTTTCTGGAACTCCCTATCAGACAGTGGAATATTCAATAATCTGTGAAGCATACTATTGAATGCAGCAACTTTATGCTGGTAAGGGTGTGTGGAGGAATTATGTATGATGTCTGTGTACGGTGGTTTGTGGAAAATTGCAAATTCATGTTTATTGTTATTTTTCGTAATGGTTAAGTCAAGGTAATTTATTGAATTATTTAGGTTTTTGTAAAAATATCCAGTGAAAATCACACAATAAAGTGTTTTTAGAATACGTTAAAAATCATATGCATTCAATACAGGTAGTGCCATCTGTCTGTTAGCCTACTACATCCTTTCATACCATACATTGAAATTAAATGAAAGTTTCTAATGTGACAAAGACAACTTTGAGGTTAAACTCAATTGTTAATACTGTAATACTGTATTTTTTTTCAATTTAATGATGTGTTCCAAAATTTCAACTTTCATCTAGTGATGAATTTCTATGATTATTTAAATATAAGGAATGAAGGGTTGGGGTATGAATCATAGATTTATACTGCATTATGCGTTGTTGTTTTGCGAAAGCAAAAACACGAATATTTCTGAATACAAATTGTGATGAGGTTCTAAATTATCAATGAACATAACATAATATGCCTTTTCGAAAGATTATTATCAAAATAGACAAGACTGGGTGGAAAACTGTGAAACAAATCTAAAGAAACGAATTTTAAATGTTGAAGCCAGTCTCAGATATACCTTCACAGTACGTTGAATAGACCCACCAGAAAACAACTACTCCACTGGCTAATACCACGAACGGCGTTGGATTATATCCGACATGCGTCACTGCAGGAATCTTCACAGAAAATTTCCTGCATATACAATTAGCAATACAACTTTAATTTTGGAACGGGCACACTTGCAGACCGGTTTCGGGCTCATTAGCCACTCGTCAGTGCAAGATAGTGACCATCATCGACCTAAAGTCAATGATATTCCATAATTAAAAATCGAAATTCTTTCATAGTATTTCATTCCCCGCCCAAAGTTGGAGCGAACAACAAAAATGTCACTCCATCTAGTGGACGAGGTACTAACCAACTGCATACCCGAAATTTGCCCGATTCCTCTGAATAAGGAAGAAAAACTTTCTTATTAGTCAGTGGGCTATGCTTGAAGCAGAGCCCACTGACTAATGCATAGCCCACTGACTAATAAGAAACTGTGAAAAATTGTTTCAAAAATCATTTCACAGTTTTTTATTTAATAATATCACAATATCTATGGAATTATACTATAAAAAAACTTGACTAACGTTCAATTTTTGAATCAGTTTTTCAAATTTACTTCAGTATAAGCCTGTGTATATACGTAGTTTTTCTACTCACCGATCAGTGGTAGCTTGTGGGTGAGACCAAGTGTCCGTTTTGTCGAACGACTTCGTCCTTGATCGCCTCGAATGTCTTGGTGTAACTTCAGAATCCGAAACGTGGTTAACCTCCGAAGACTTCAGCTGGTTCAGCTGTTGTGACAACGTGTCCAAAATATTGTCTTTTTCACTAAACAAAACACCATCGCGACGTCGACGAAATTTAGTACTCCCCGCTCTTCTTAGACGATCCTTGGGGTCCTCTGTGGATTTATGGAACACCTCGTCTTCCTTATTCGACAGACTGTCTTGTCTTGAGGATGTTTCACCGGTAGTTCCTAATAATCATTTTTGATGAAACTAAACATTGAACTGTGCCGATTGATATAGCAAAAACTATAAATGATAGAACTAAATGTATGACAATAATATTAAGAATAAATCAGCTAAAATAGTTCCATTTTAAATAGAAAAGCTTGTATTTCATTGCAGACTTATATCTTTAACGTCATACTCGAATATATATTTCTCAGTTTCATTCTATTCATAGATTGCAGGCTATAAAAAGCACCCCTTAGCCTAGACTGAAAGACAGTCTACTAAACATAGTAAGTGTTATTAGTACAATTTTCATTTTGCAGGAGTTCTTATTCAAAACGTTGAATTTATTCACCATATGTATCTACTGACTAGATTTTACATACGAATTATATGAAGATCAGTTATTGTTGATCTCTGCTAATATAAATGTAAAATTTGTGAGGATGGATGTATGTTTGTTTCTCCCATGCCTAAACGACTGAACGGATTTAGATAAAACTTTACATAATACAGCTTATACATCAGAATAACACATAGGCAACGCAGTAAGCCATTACGCGTCGCGTCTACTGTAAGACTACATGGGACGATGCACGGGGGTAGATGGACGGTCAAGCAATGAAGCGCCATCGTTGAGAACGCGACCTGAACGCGGGCAGACGCGTGAGGGCAGACGTCATTGACGGTTGTGGTAGTTTTGCGAATTTATTTATAGGTAACATAATTCGATTCTCAAAGTCATTCATTACTTAATGCAGTTGGTAAATTTTTTAGATTACCGAGGCAGATTTTAGCCTATAAAACTTTCACGAGTAGTAGGTATCTGTAAAACTTCTCAACACTAATTTTGTGATCACCTCGTACAGTGTCGAAAACTTAACCGAGTTCATCAGCCGCTCTGGCAACTGCCCTAAAGAGAAATGCTTCAATTACTGCTCTCTCATGGTCTTGGACCATACAGAGAATAGGATCCGAACTCTTGATGACTTTACAAGTTAAATCCAGTACCAATCTGTCATGTAGACACTCCAAACTCAAAAGTCAACGGCCTCCCTATTGTCGGGGGAATTACAGCCGTGGCCTCTTATGGAGGTGCATCATTTTCTCGTTTTCACGTCAAGATGATTCAACTCCTCCCGATTCCACTTCACTTCTCCCAAGAAGTAGAGTGAGATCGGAACGGCAAACATATTCATTGAAGCACCTTTGTTCTTCCCCGACAGTTCCAATGACTAGATGAGTGATCAGTGGGTACCGGAATGATGTGTCCTGAGCAGACACAATACAACAAGAATAACAGCCTCTTACATTTGTCCGACCAAGATTTCTGCCTTCGCGCGGCAAACCAATCTTGAGATTGGAGAGTGAAGAGAACATCATTCCAAAAAGGACTCCAATAACCAGAATAACCATCGTAAAATAGTGGTCTGCGGAGTTCGAAGAGAAAATCTCGATATTTCATCCGTTTTTCCTTCCCTTTTCAGACGATATTCGTCCCACCTGGAGCTGAATATCGACGAATATCGTTTTTTTGTCAATTCTCATCACGTACAACGAATTCAATATCCCCCGGAGCGTAGGTGTCTCGTCAATACCGTAAATGTGCCATAGATGGTGATAAAACACTCATAGGGTCGTGATATCATTATTATCATTATTTTAGCTGGCTATCTTTTCGAGATTAAACTCAAATTCCCAAATGAATATAATCCAGTTATTTAAAGTAAATAGCACGTGCACAGGCACTGCTCTTGAATCATCTTGAGCATTTTTTCAGTGCTTCTTCAGCAAAAGAAAATCGACATATATCACATTTACCCTTCTCAGAGTCTGTTTATTAAAAAAAAAAAGAAATTTCCTACACACAAGTGTTTTTAGGGGTTAATGTCGATATAGAAATTCTAAAATATTAAAATCACCAGTATTCCATTGGTCGCGTGTAACACTTATCGTCAATGCCGATGTCCTTTTATCAATATTCATAACGATATCAATACTCATTATTCATTCCTAACGATAAAGAAGTAGACAAAATCCAACGGTTTATTTGTAAATCGAGCCAAAATGATTATACTTATTGCAAAAGTAGCTAAAGGTCACCAAGTCTTTTCAGGCTCACTTAATATTTATCAATTTTAGTTGATAGACCAATGCCACTGCTAATTTGTTTATCGCTTTCTTATCGTCTATTTTTCATGGTCTTAATAACGGAATAGTATTCATTAATAAATCATATGAATTACTCTGGCATTAAGTTATTCAAAATGGTTTCAAAGCTACCTATTGAATAGATTGCAAAGTACCAAAATGTTATGTCAAGTAAAATTAATGTTAATTCTAGTGTTACTCAAGGTAGTGTTTTGGGACTGCTCATTCATACGTGTTTGAATACAAACTATATTCAAAACTGAGTTCCTGAATCTTTACGCTGAGGTAACTGTAAGTAATGTGATCAAAAAGCTATTGAAGAAATGAATTGCACTTTGATAAATATCACTCCCCTAACCCAAATTGACCTAAAATATGATTATGTTTTCAAATATAATCTTATTGATAAAAATTCTATAGCAATTCACCGCGAAACTATTGAAATCGTAGATAAAATTCAATGTATAGGACTGATTGTTGATGGTGAACAAACTGAAAAGCCATTTTCAATATCTGTACAATGAAACCTTTGATAAAACTATTTACAAAACTATAACACCACCCAACTTTAACTGTTGCTCACGTGGGGATCACCCTCGACAGGCTGGTCGACATGCAACGTGGATCCCCAACTAAAACTCCTTCTAAATAAGAAAATCCTGCTCCCCATCATCATGTATGTCTTCAGTGCATAGGTCATGTAAGTCATGTATATGCATGTATGTCTTCAGTGTGCGAAAACAAATAGACTCTGGATCCAAAGGTTTGTGAACGTCTGCCAGCGTATGGCAATAGATGCTCCTAGAAACATGCCCAAATTGACCAGCCAGTACATCTACCGGGATCTGGATCTCAGTACCCAGTACGTAAATGTCCTTCTGAGAAACCTAGCCCAAAAAATCTTCGAGCTAATTCGGACCCACCTCAACCCACAGCTGTCTGATCAGAGAGCGCTGAACAGAGAGACCGACGAAACAAAACCAGAGACCACCACTGAGAGTCGCCGTCCGGGGTAAGACACATTCTGTCGAGAAAGTATGGAAAATCGATCATTTAAAAAGCTCGCGTGAAGAGACTGTTCAAATTATTTTTGTATCTAGGTTGGCACAACTGTCCTCTATACTCACGCGGAGTTTCAGTGGCATTCGTCATTTAGCTTGTTTACAGTACTTAGTTCGTTGATTAATCTCAAACGTGTCCATATTTCTTTGAGAATGACGTTGGCCAGGCCATAACTGTGAGCGGCGAGCACTATAGGTACTTTTGGCCTGAATTGGATGATTTGGACACCAACGACATGTGGTTTCAACAGGATGGTGGTAGGTGCCACATTTGACCCCGTTAGACTGATTCTTGTGGGGTTTTCTTAAGTCACAGCTATAAAACCACAGCGGTTCTCAAAGTCAACATAACCTATACCATCGGTCAAATTCAGCCTGATTTATGCGTCAGAGTAATGAAAAATAGATGTTTCGGATGCGCTTCTCCCAGAGTGGCGGACATTTGAACGATGTTATTTATATTTCACACGTAATGTCATCAAAAAGTCTATCAAACAAATTCAAAAATTTGATGATATCTCACATGCACTTTGTTTCATTTAAATTTGAAGATAGGAGGCTCTTTATGAAAGATCCTAAACTTCACTTTCATTACCTGTTGGCTGTATAGAAATCACAAAACAGAGGAATGGGTTTGAAATTATCCCCGAACTATGAAGAACTCCATACACCACAAGGGATTGTTAGAATATACAGTGCATTTCTTTAAGCCCCCCCCTTTATTTTTTGAAAGGTTCAACTCAAAAAATTGAAATTTGGAATAATGAAATTAATGCAAGAATACTTTATTTTGTTTTGTTTTGAAACCTTCTGATTTCATGTTGTTCTTGATAACATAATTTCTATTATTTCTATATATGTTTTTAATCATATTTATGGTTTTTTCATCAATATTTCTATTTTTCAGACTCTCCCATAATTCTGTTGGTACCTTGTCGAAAGCTTTTTCTAGGTCTATGAATGCCAAATATATATTTTGGTTTTCTGATCTTCTCTTTTCTATTATTTGTTTTATTGTGAAGATGTGGTCTTGTGTACTTCTTCCGGGCCTGAACCCACTTTGTGGTTCTGAGAGTTGTGCCTCTATTTTATTCCTGAGTTTGTTGTTAATTATTCTTTCTATTATTTTTGTTATGGTATTCAGTAGAGTAATCCCTCTATAATTATTGCAATTTTTGTAGTCTACTTTTTATGTATCGGTGTTATTAGAGCTGTTCCCCATTCCTCTAGTATAGTTTCTTTTCTCCATGCCTTATTGATTATTTCTAGTAGGCTCTTTCTTCCAGTTTCTCCTAAGTTCTTCATCATTTCTGATGTTATTTTGTCCTCTCCTGGTGCTTTCCCATTCTTCAATGTTTTAATTACTTCATCTAATTCTTGCATTTCTATCAATGGTTTGCTTTCGTTTAGCTGGTTCCTTTCTGTTGCTTCTATTGATCCTTCTTCATTTCCTTGTCCTAGTAGTGTCTGGAAATATTCTTTCGATCTCTTCATTATATCTATTTCGTTTGTAATTATTTCACCTTTTGAATTCTTGATTTGTATGTCTTTTACGGGTTTATCTGATCTCATGGATTTTAGTGCTTTGTAGAATAGTTTTTGGTTACTTTTACTGTCTTCTTCTAGTTTATTACCGAATTCAATCCATGACATTTCTTTTGCTTTATTAACTAATGTTTTTACTTGTTTTCTTCGGTTTTTATATATTTCATACTGTTCTGTTGTATTATTGTTCAAGTATTTCTTCCATTGTATTTTTTTTCTTTTATAGCCTCCTTTATGTCATCGTTCCACCATGATGTCTGTTTTCTATTATTATTTGTTTTGTAGGTGTCACATGTACTGATAGCTGTTTCTATGATAACATTTCTAAAAATGTTCCACGCTTCTTGTAGTTCTGCTTTCTTAATGTCGTTGTATATGTTTTCAAGTTTTTCGTTGGTAACATCTTTATATCTAGTAGCTACAGTTGTGTCTCTCATTTTATATTTGCCTGACTCTATTGGTATTCAATTACATAATATTAGGTAATAAGCTTGAGGTCAGTTCAGAAGATGCTCGAAATGGTTGCTTTGAACTTCTTGACATATGAACAGCCTATCCGATATTTCACGTCGAATATTTTCGAACACAGTAACGTCAATAACTTTAAAAATATTTATTATTCTCTGGCGTATATCCAATATTGAAGCAGGTTCAGTTTCGTACACCTTTTGCTTCAAATAGCCCCATAAAAAAGTCCAAAGGTGTCAACTCTGGCGAGCGGGCTGGCCATTCTGTAGGACCTCGACGGCCAATCCAACGACCGGGAAAAGGAGTATGCAAATAGTTTCTCACTTGTCCGAAGTAATTTGGTTATGTTCCATCTTGTTGGAATACAAAATCCATATCGAATTCATTAGGATTCGCTTCGACGATTTCAGTGATGAGACAGTCAACAGTAGTTGCCAGCATATTCAAATACAGTTACCCCTGTTAAATTTTGATCAATAAATAGAGGTCCTACAATATGGTTTCCTAGTATTCCTGCCCAAACGTTAATTTTTTCTAGATATTGGGTATGTGTTTCCCGGAAAACGTGAGGGTTGGTTTCACTCTAATAACGACAATTTCGTCTGTGAACATTGCAGTTTAAAAAAATGTACATTCGTCACTAAAACAAATATTGTGGAGATAGGTAGGATGCCTTGCAACGGTTTGCGTCATGATTTCGCAGAATTCTGTTTTTCGATCAGAGTCATCTTCAGTTAATTGGTGTACCATTTTAATTTTGTATGGATGATACCTATTCCTCTTCAAAAGTCTCCACACAGTAGAAGGATCACCTCACAAACATTCGCGGCGGAATAAGTAGACTGTTCAGGATTTACTACCATCTCACCAATTATTTGCACTTGCTGTTCTTCAGGAATGGACGGATGACCTAGGGGGCTTTTTGTTATGTACACTATTGGTAGTTGTGAATTTGGATACAAGTTCCCTCATATATTTTCTATGAATAGAATGATTCGGAAAACGTTCATTGAAAATCCTTTCGGTCTCGTGAAAGTTACGCGTCGCACCGTAAATAAAAATCTTTTCAATTATTTTACAATGGACGAGAATTGACAATTTTAAAGATTGTTGACGTGGTACCTTTCTACTAGTAAAACTAAAAACTAAATGAGAATATTCTAATTGAACAATGATGTTCATTGTCGTACTGACATTTTTTGTCGCTTTTATAAACAAAAAATAACTTAAGAAACCTTATCGGGTTGTTGGAATTGCCATATGGCAGATAAAAAAGAATATTTTTAGAAATATCGATATTGATGTGTTTGTCTTCAGGAAATTATTAAATGTTCCGCCATTTTGTAGTAGGTGAAGATATTGACTTCTTATTCTAGGGTTGTGAAGTATTCGTCAGGAGGGGTCACAAAACCCCTCTTTCCATTTAATTTTTTCCCATATGGCCCCCAGTCGCCATCTTGAAAGTTGCATCTATCAATTTCTTCTTAAAATAATGTATTCATGCATTAATTTCATTATTCCAAATTTCAATTTTTTGCGTTGACCCGTTCAAAAAATAAAAGGGGGGGGGACATTGAAGAAATGCACTGTATAATAATAATCTTCCTCATGAGATTGAACATAGTAATTAATGAATGTAAACAGTTGTTAATTATTTTTAATTTGAAGGATAAGTTGTGAATGAGGAACAACGAATGTGACATTAGACAAGTTCGTATAGCATAACATATGAAAGCTGTACAATTTTGTGCTATTTTTGTACATCAAAACTAGTTATTTTTTTGAATAAACAATTCCTCTTTTTTTCAACTATGAACTATTTTTACTTACGGAAAGGTGTCTTGTTGCACGTCCTGGACCACCTCCTGATGTCACTCTGGTACGTCCAGTTATCAGAGAGAGCGCAACATTCATCTTCAGACTCATCTGTTTGCGCGTGCGCAACCCTCTGTTGATGAAGGTGAGCGCAACTGTTGAGGATTTGCAATCGCCTGAAGAGGGAATGTAACACGTCAGGTTCCAGCAACGGGTGATCTTGAGCTGCGGTAGTTACATCAATGGGAAACTGGTTATCTGCAAGTTTATGGTGATAAAAGAACCCCGTTTTATATTCGAGAGACATGCAAATATAGAAGAGTAGAAAAAAAACCATTGAACACAGATGTGGGTATTAATACTCTGTTCAAAAAATGAGGTGAATGTTCATTTTCCCGATAAAAATGAAAAAAGGAAATAGGGGCGAAAATATACTGAGAAAACTAGGAATTCGACATCAGAATATTCAAATAATGGTTGAAATTGCAAATAAAAAGTGTGAATCGCTAATTAAAAGTCACAATTCCGCGTTTACAAAAAGTATAACTATAAACTGAGAGTAGTATTTAAAATTTATAAGGAGTAAAACATTAAATAATGTATGTTGGATATAATTTCACCTGAAAAATCAAAATTACTGGTTTCGAATTAGAAGTTTCAGTTTAAATTAGGAATGCAGCGTAAGAATTACTTATTTGAGCAAATAGAAATCAAATTTTATATGATGGTGACCTTCAATGTTGGAATTAAAAAATCAACATAGAACAGATATAAAAAACTCTCGCTAACGATTCAACCACAATCCCAACTTTTCCCGGACTGATATCTACTCAAATTTCAAACCCTATTGTCGAATGTTTCACAAGCAACAAATAATACTTGAAAGAATCCATCTAGAAATTCGAGTTGATGGGACAAAAAAAGCTGGTCCCTAATAAGAGGATTATTGGATTAAACGGGGAACGGGTTGTCTTTGTGTTCTCACCTTCATAGAGTTGAGCATATTGAGGAAATCCTGTAGCTCTCAGCCATTTACATGCTTCGGCGGCTTCGATTTCTGTGAAAATTATCAATTTTTGAGTGTACGAAAGAAAAGAAAGTTTTCAGCATGCAAAATATGTGATAAACAAAATTTACAAATCAATTTTATTCATATGCAGCGGCAAACAGAGTCATTCAGCAATGAGAAATCCGCTTATTCAATCATTCAAAGAAGTTACACTTTTCTTCTCATTAATTGAATTAAAGGATCTATTGTTCGTTTTTAAAAGGCATGAAGTAATAAATCACTCAAAAACGAATGATTCCAATGGCGTGCTAACTTTTCAGACAGCAATAAATCTACTGGTGTAAATATCGCCGCCATTTTAAATCTGCCGTTTTGTGTTTCGCTCCCAAACTGCCAGTGGCGTCGAATATTTCTCACTGTTCAAAAAACAATAATTGTAATGAAAAATTATCATGGTCTCATGGTCCGTTTGTGTATTATCAGTAGAAAATGTTGATATTTACTTTCGTGTGTTCGAAAGATTTTTATTCAACAGTTTCATGAACATTTGACGCAAATTTCTAAAAAGTTAAATTTTAACAGCTCACAAAAACTTCACACTTCACAGCAAACTTCATCACTCCAGAAAGAGATGATAACACTAGAGCATCCTATATCGGGCCTGTCTCCGTCCGAAATAGCAGAATAACTTTTTGAACATTTGAAAAATTGAGGAATAAAATTAAAGATTGAACAAATTGACGACGTTCGATTTGTTAGATTATGATAGTTGTCATGATGCGCGGAATCTTACGAACCAATCCACTGCAGATGAAGAAGAAATCGCAGAAGAGGAGTGACGTGTTCAGTGTTGCCAAGTCTACTTTTTTGCAGCTGATTTCTTGTTTCGGCTCTCTGAACCAAAACAAGAGGCCCGAAGCCTCGCAGTGAGCGCACATTCTACTGATGATGTCTGCCTCAGTAGTATATACACAGTAGCACGAAACGTTTGGAACTTCAAGTTCCATTTGACCACGGCCTTTTTATTATCTTTGATTTTGCCACAAACAAACCAAAAAAAAACCAAAGTAATCTAGATTAATTTTCATATACTATTAATATTATTCAAGAATATTTTAAGATCATAATGAAATTCAATTATGAGAATTTATAAGAATACATTCATGTGAAGTCTTCAAAACGTCGAACTCGAATTTCAATACAGAGTCTATAATTTAGAAACCTTTCAGAAAAAAAATTACATTATTTCTTATTCAACAGGAAATTAATAATGATACTGGTAATAATAATAAAAATAACAATTGCTGTTGAATGCCCTACGCTCTGGGGGAATATTGAATCCGTCGTGGGGAACGAGAAGTGCCGAATTTATTGGAACTATTCGTTCCCCACCCTCAGGCTCATACAAGCTAATAAGCCTGATGTAGTCCTTCCTGACCACCAGAGCAAGACGATATTTGTGGTGGAGTGTTCAGCTCCTGCCGAGCCGAATATCGTCCAGAAGAGTGAGGGAAAACGAATAAAATATTGGGATTTTCCCTTCGACTCCGTTCTATCCAGGCCACTCTGTCAAGATGGTTGTTTTGATTATTGGAGAACTTGGTGGAATGATTCATCTCAAATTCCATCTCAAAAGAGAATGATGCGGGGACTACGAAGAGGATGTGGACAGATCTGGTCATCGGAACTGACGGGGAAGAAAAAGTTGCTGCAACGAATATGCTTGCCGTTCCAATCTTACTCTACTCGTTTGGAGTAGTGAAGTGGACTCGGGAGGAGCTGTATCAACTAGAGTAAAGACCCGAAAAATGATGCATCTCCATAAGAGTTTGTATCCCAAATCGTCCGTTCCACGGTTGTCATTTCCCCGACAACAGGGAGGCCGTTGACTTTTGAGTTTGGAGTGTCGACATGACAGAATGGTACTGGATGGAGCCTGTAAAATCATCAGAGGAGTTCAGATCCCCTTCTCTGCATGGTCCGTGACCATGTGAGAGCAGGAATTAGAGCATTCCTCTTTAGGGCAGCTGCCCGAGCAGCTGGTGGACTCGAATTAATCTTCGACACTGAACGATATGATCACAACTCTGTCACCGAGTTGGAACCTGTTCAGCAAAAAGCTCAGATAAAAGCCGCAGAGATCACCTTACTTCTGCGGAAACACAAGGATAAGCCAATGCATGGGGTCTTCTTCAACAACAAGCGCTTATCAAGGCGCTTGACTTTTCAGGTCGATTAGGCTGAAGTCGGAACTGAGGGGTTTTCAGCATCGCCTGTTAGGATGGTGGCTTCAACACCTTAGTCTTCCGCAGTCGTGTGATGGGTATAGATGTTCCTGACACAAGGTACAGGGCCTGCCACGAGGCGTCTGAGACTCCAATGCACTTGCTGTCAGCATGTCCAGCATCACTCTTACGGTATGGAAGAGACATTGGTGTTGCCCTACGTTCCGGGGGATACTGAATCCGTTGTGGGAACGAGAAGTGCTGAATTTGTTGAAACTATTAGTTTCCCTTTGATATTCTTTGATTGAGTTATCATAGATGGCGGAAGATGTCATCGACCTTACTTACAGGCAGAGTACCTCATATAATGTTAAAAGTTTATTTGTTGAAGGATTTATTCAGTACAATAGTTTACCACAAAATGTGAAAGAGTCA